TTTAACTATCATTTATTTAGAATTGACCGTGTCGCATTTGGCAAAGCGTCACTCTCGGGAACTTCGGCATCGAGTTTCGGTACCCGTCCAATGCGTAGTAAATTTTTACAATTTTTTTTTTTTTTTGTAAAAAAAATTAAATCACGCGTCTAATATCCGTATGTGATTTCAACATTTTTATTTTGCTCCGTGGCTCGACCCAATCGATTTTTTTTCCCCTGTACGTTACCTACCCGGCGTGGTTTTGCACGACAAATCGAGAGTTATTTTGTCGCTCAAAACGTCATTGTCGAGTAGTCGTTACTATTATAAGGGACGGAGGTTCAATGATACATGGTACGTAGGTATAATATTACAATATTTTCCGTGGTGGTTAAGGTGGTTTTGATGTGGCGAGAAAGAGACAAACGATCTATTATAATATAAAAGTGAAGATACGGGCGTAGACTGTACGAGTGTTATTACTCATTATTATCGATGGACGATGATTTAACTCGCAACAATTATTTCCTACGCCACGGTGGCTACGTGTCCAGTTGCGACGATGTCAAACTCCCGCAGCTGATAAATTTCGGTAGCCGCCTGATTTGTGTGTATTTACAGTGAGTATAGATACATCATAATCGATCACATTTGTCCTTATCTTACTTTTTATTCACGCTAATTTTTAAAATCCGTGCGAACCGTGTTTAACGTAATATTTTTTTTTTTTTTATATATACAAATTTTGACAAAAATCGTAAAGGTTACGGCAGCGGCTACTTTAGTTCTTTGCCTAGGGGGGGGGAACATTATTTTTAAATATTTATATACCTATATATTATATACGGGTATACAATTAGAAAAAAAATATTTACGCGTACAGTTAAATAAAATGTCTAGGGGAAGCATGACCCTTATAGCCTTCCCTAAATGCCGCCTCCATATTACGACCATTCAAAACATATATAGGTAACCGAATTCCTCTCAAAATTGTTTTTCTTTGGCAATGATTAATCGTTGCGTACAGATATATTAAAAATAAATTCCCCTATATATCATATCTTCCCGACTTCTCACCTACAACAGTGGCCTACCCATCGTGCGAAGTATGTCGGAAAGTCGGGAAGGTAGGATGCAGAGAGACGCGTGTCTAGTTTTCATAAAAAAAAAAAATCAATCTCATCAAATTCATCAAATAGGTATGTGCTGAGCGATACAAAATATTTAAAAATCTGTTGGTATAATTACCAAAAATAAAAAATATGTTTGTTGTACTTAATGATAATTAAATATACATAAATAACAAAACACGTTTACCGTTTTTCATTAGATAGGACGTGTCGATCAACAATTGTTATCTATACCTACTTTGTTTATTGTAACTAGGTATTTTTAATTATCTTCTGTAATTATTTCATTTGCTGTAAATTAAAATAAGTCTTACCTATATAGATAACAAAGTAGGTACACGGGTGTAGCAGACTTAATGAAAGCTTAATGATAATAACTATATCACCTCATATCACCTTGTTCTGTTCTCTATAATAACATTAATAGGTAAACATTATAAAGCGAAGGTGAGCAAGTAAGTTAATGATGTTTTTTTAAATCAGTTAAGTTCAGTAACTATGTATTTTTTTTTTAACATCATACAAATAAAATGGCGGCACATCCGCCCGTGTCTTTATCCACGGGTGTATATGACTAAAATATTGTAAGCATAATATGAATACAATAATTACGCGGATTAATATGAAAAAAAAATAGCGCTCACTTGGATAACGTGCACCCGTGTTGATGTCTAGGTAATGAGTTCACGATAAGTACGGATTCGCGCACGGATAAATGCCCGCATAACGGCGGCGAGACGGAAATCCGCCGACCGACCGGCAACCGGTCGTGGCGACCGACGCCCGGCAAGCATTGACGAACAGTCGAATACGACTAAAACACCAAATGCCGCGGCAGAGTAACGAGCGAGGAACGAAATGAAAAACCGTAAAAAATCGTGCGTAACGTGGTGCACGCCAAATACGGGCCTATTTTAGGCGATATTAAGTATATCGAAACGGTCACGGTTCGTGTTCAATCGCGGCATTAATAACTGAGTATATTGAGTGGGCATTACGAATATGATTCGAGGGCTCGTTACACTACCGACGTCTTTACGCGGACGACTGATCGTTTCCCTTGGATTAGCTACAGGTAATTGCAATCGCCTATTTAAGTGGGCGCTTAGTGAATATTACGATGAATTAGTTTTCATCTTTAAACGAAAATTCGAAATTCTCCGTAAATTTATAAATATATATATATCATCTATCTATTATACGGGGCTCGTAACTTTAAACATTCGCGCGTTTTTTTTTTTCTCTCGTTGAGCTACTGCACGTGAACTATAATCTCGTTTCGAAAAATCACGAAGCTATATACGAAAGCGCGACTGAACTAATATGCGTTTAAATGGCGTCGTCCGGACTACGCCACTGAAATCGCTACTCTAGTTGCCCGAGTTTTTAATAATATACGATATTTCGTGTAACACAGTTTTAATTTTGTGATATAATTTTATCTTTGCATTATAGGGGGCAAAATGTTAATATAAATTTCGTCAATGAAATAGAAAAGCATCCTCAGCTATACAATTACACGTTAAAAAGCTATTCGAGGAAAAACATGACGGAGTGAAGTAGCCGCAGAAGTTAAACTGTACTGGAATCACTACTGAAAGACATTACGAATATTAAACAATGATATAAATGACACTATGAAATACTGAAAACATTAGTTTGACACTAATTCAATAAACCTTGTGAGGATAACTGGAAACTTCTGTCCCCTAGTTGCCTAGTCTTCTGGTATCCAAGCGACTACAGTTTCTTTTGAGTATCGTCGTGTGAGGAGCGGTCGCTGCAACTCAGTAAGATGATAATCATATCTCGATAAGGAAACCCCAATAATTGTATCACGTACTTACATTAGTACCTATTTTATTTTTGTAGTTTCTAGATACTTCGTTAGGTATAATTATTATAATTATTTTTTTTTTTATCATTTTTAATGACTATTTAAGCGCTTATTCATATGTTTTTAGAGCATATTAATGTGCTTATAAACAACCCTTTTTAGAGCTACAAGTTATGAGCCCTGCAATCATATTATATCCTGTCTTATTTTTTTGTTTTTTTTTGTTTTTGTTAATAATATTTTATATATTTTATTATTTACAAACTTATAATATTTAAACTGTAATAAACAAAATTAATTGGGAATATAAAATAAAATACAACTTAAAAAGGTTACCTAGGTTACCTATATTTTTGTTGATTTCGAGTTAACGAGTAGGTAGGGTACTAGATTTACATTTCAAAATTGTTTCACTATATGAGGATTTCAAATAAATTATAATCGTACAGCAGATATTATATTTATACCTACCTAAAATATACTTCTGACTTCATATTGGAATTATTTTATACTAAACTTAAAATGTAATTTGGGTAACTCTACCTATATTGAATGAGGTACTTATCCAATAGTAAAATAATTTGAATTAATTTATAAAGTTTAAACTCCATAATTGGTGTAGGAATAAGTTAAAAAGTAGATATTTAATCAAATTCCTTGTTCGGTCACAATATAATGTGTAGGTAGGTAGGTATGTATTACCACCTACTCATGTACTTATAAATACCTATACAGGATTTGTATTAAAATATTCAAATACATTTAAATAAATCATTATTAAACTAAATCTTTGAAATATATATATATATATAAATGAATAGATACCAAACTAAATTTGTTATGTCGGTACATTGTGGTCAGCATTAAACAATTTAGGAACCTATTTTTTCATTTAATTTAAGTAAATTTAGATATTCAAATTTAATAATTATTTGTACGTTGCCATTAGTAGCGTATTAGGGTAATATTCTTAGTTGTGAGGGTGGGGATTAATTTTAAAAATTTTGTTCCTGACTGAACTGATGATGAAAAAACTAGAAAGTAGATAGATATTTGAAAAAAAAATAGTGTCAAAGTCAAGAAGTACTATTAATTATTATTATTATACATATGATGTTCGATAAAAAAAAATTATGAATTTATATTAATAATATATAAAACAGTCAAGAAGTGATATATATCGTTATCATATTTTTTTTTTGAATATAGGTGCCTACCTAATAAAAGTTGGGTGTTTGCAGATTCTGATAATGATGTTTTTTTTTCTGTGAACAATTTTTCTACCAGCAATTTTGTTCTGATTTTCAAGTATAGCACTTTTTCATAACCCAATTGTCCTTTAACATTCAAATTTATTATATTCAGCTTACATTCCGTGTTTGCCCACAAGGTCAAAAAACTTGGCGAGTGTAATAAGGAGAACTATCACATACTTTGGAATTTTGCAATAGTATGGAAACACAAGAGAAAAAAAAAATTATATTGATTATCGAGCGAAACGTCACAACACTTTAATTTTTAGTTTTAAATTTAATGACTGATTATGAATATTTTCGTTATAAGCTCTTTTTTTCATAAATTGTCAATGGTATATTTTAATGGAAATTTGTATTCAAATAAACAGAGTAAAACTTCCGTTAACGGTCACCTCTAAAAGACAGTCACTTCTATGTAATGGTCATTTTTTTGGTCCTGTCAAGTGTTATGACTTTATGAGACACCTCTAAAGGACGGTCACCACTAAATAGAATTTATTATTTCCGATCCCTCCAGTGACAGTTATATGAAAGTTTTACTATATTACTTATGATTATTTTGTAAATGGTAGTTATAATGATTGATATAATGACCCAATTATGTTCAATAGTTTAGTTTAGCAGATTATTATTTTAAAAAATACCTTAATATCTTTTATTCTTGACTCTTGAATTATATTATAAAATTGAATTAATTAGAAACATGTTATTACTATTGTATTTAAAAAGTGTTCTAGGAATATATAATTTAGATTAATTAATTTGTATAATTGATTTTGATAATACTTTATTGGTGTGGACTTTGGTTATAGAAACTTGATTTTAAAAGTAAATTACCTATATATTTTCATTGTCATACATTGTTGTTAAATATTATGAAAAAATATTCTACAATTTACTGATTTTCTATGCTTTTTTCAAAAAACTATATAATCTATTAAAAAAATAAAAAAAAAAAAAAAATGAAATGCAATACCTAATACTGTAAATAAATTATATTTAAAATTATAAATTTTCAATTTCTTCATATTCTGCAATCAATTTTGAAATACTTTCGGTAGTTTTACTAAACATCTCTTCTTCCATTCCTTCTCCAGTAAAATGATGCACAAACACTCGTTTAGACAACAATTTATTGTAATTTTTCATCAAGTTTATCCAATATTGTTTGATAGCGGTATTGTTAGAAAAATTTGTTACTGTTCTGGTGGCTGCAACTATTCCACTAGATGGCACAGTGAGTGGAGGAAGATAACACAGACCGAACTAAAAAATACAATGAATAACTAAAAACATAACATAAAAAGTGGACATATTGTTACACAAACCTTGAACAATGGAGAGTTTATGTTTTTTGTTACAGGGATAGTGTGTTCTCTTTGAGCAAAAGCAATGGCCGTATTGATATCGGTTGGTGTTAAATTTCCTCGGTACATCATACAAATAGATAGATATTTACCTAGTTTAGAATCAATTTTGGTCATCTGGTAATTATGGTCAAAGCTTAATGCAGCTAATTGTGTACTGGCAGATGAAATATTTTGTGCATTATTTGAGATAGGAACATGTGTGATTAGTGGGAAATGCAATCTAGGGTACGGTATTAAATTTGTTAACAATTCTGAAAGGTTATTCATCATCGAACCCTCAAACCGAAGTGACGAAGTAATTCCTGATGTAACCTACAATATTATATTAATATTTAACAACAATACATAAATTCAATAATTTTTAGGTATTTAATTATGTGATCGATCATACTAGTGCTATAACATTGTTAATATTTCTGTATGTAGGCTTAGGAATATCTAGTTTAAAACCACATATATTATACAATGTCTTATTATCAAAGAGGAATGAACATTTGACTGAGTCTAAATCTTGACAAGTGCCCAAAGCAGTATTATATGGTTCCACGATAATTGGTGACATCTATCAAAAAATACTATTACTAGTTTCCACTATGTTACTTAAGATAATGAACACTTACTTCTGATGAAGTACAAATATTGAAATCAATAATCGTTTTACTAGGATACATGTCCTTAATATCATTGATAATCCTAGAGCTCATTCCAGAACCGGTACCACCGCCTGTTGATCTGAACAAAGCAATTCCCTGTAATGCATTACAGTTTTCGGCTAAACATGACAGCTGATTCATGACTGCCGATGAAAGTTTCTTGCCGATCCCATAAAATCCTGCGGCATAGTTACTTGCTGCATTTTCCTTGTCGTTTATCATATTCTGATTAGGAAACAGTTTTTGGTAATTTCCAGTTTTTATTGTATCTGAAAACCAATTCATTAGTAACACAATCTTAAAACTCTATCTAGGATCATATTTTTTGAATTTGTATCGTTTATATATTTCAAGGTATTTCATAATATACTGAAATTATTGAAAAATAAAAACCTTGAGAAATATTAATACAGAAAATAAGTTTTTATCAAACCTATAACTGTAGGCTCAGTATCTACTAGCAAAGCTCTAGGAACATATGTGTCAGCTTGGGACAGTGAAAACATTGATGTAGAATTTGTCTTTAATTGACAAATAGTCCCATCCAAGTTGATCCCGTGTTCAAGACAAAATAATTCCCAGCAAGCTGTTCCAACTTGAATACCAGCTTGTCCAATGTGTATGCATATAAATTCACCTTGTGATGGAGGTGGTGGCGGTGGCGGTAATTCAATAATTTCTGGTACAATTTTTTCGCTCTTTTTCTCTTTTGAAGGTTTTCCATTGCCTTTCTAAAGTAATTTTTTTTTTACATATTAATACTAATTTAATAATATTGGGTTTTTTCTTACTTTCGCCATTTGATTTCACCTTATATAAAACTTAATTTTTTTTTTTAATTTACTAAATTGATTGTTTTATTTAAAAATAGTTTAATTGATCTATTTCCAAAGTTACACAGAATATAATAAACAGGTGTAATTTTTTTTTTTTTTTTTTTGTCTTTTAATAAGTTTTCCGACCAACCAATTCTAATGGTTTTTGGATTATTTGTAGCTATTTGAAATGCTCGAGTATTTTTTTTATTATTATTATTTTTGGTTTTATGAGGATACAATTTGCTTAACTTGGATAATTGCTTAACAGTTGTTTTTATGATAGTAGAAAAATATTGTTTTTTTTTTTTCTTATAAACTAAAAGGTTGAAGGTTTAATATTGATAAAAAAAAAAAATTAAATTGTATATATTATTTTTAGGTTTATGTGAATTAAATTTTTTAGCTCTGTAAAAATACCCAAAGATTTTATACAAGGTTCATTAGGAGTTTTCTTTAGTGGTAAAAAGAAAAGAGTTGAACTTAAAGATAAAATTTATTCTTATAAGATTTTTAATTTTTAAGGTGGATAGTTAGAAAGGTGGGATATAGAAAGCTATTTAAAATGTATACCAGTAACCAACAATAAGCTATTGTTAACAAAAAATGTGAGTGAAGTTCAGCTATACATGTTTTGAAAGGTCGTAATATTTACGATTTTCGTGAAAATTTGATTTAAAAAATCTACATTTCTTGGTTATAAATTAGATTAAAAATTCAACAAAAAAGAAATCTTGTTATTTTCAAATTGGGAGTAATATTTTTGGTAGAAAACAGAAAGCATAAAAATTTAAAATAATGAAATTGTAACGCTGTAAATTTGTCAGTTTTCACTTTATGTTTATTCATGTATTCCCAATTATTTCAAAAACAGCTCAGAAAATCAAAAAATGTCTTTTTCAATGTAATAAAGAAAAAATGTTACACTGAACAGTTCAGAACAAGATTTCTGATGGAAAAGTTGCTCACAGGCATACAAAAAAAAAACAATAATGTAAAACCAATAGATCCCTTGCTAAGCTCTGAATCTAAAATAATAACTGTACAGAATACATATTTAATTTTACTTTTGCGTATTAAATGCTTATAATTACGTAAATTTAATAATAAAAAGCTCCATTTTACACATTTTATTTTTTTTGATGAGTAAAAAAAAGTTATAACCATATCAAGTTAATCATATTAAAAAATTTAAAAATGTGCAAATGGTGCACGAACATGAAAAGGTTAAGAACTGCTGTTATAGAGTATACTCAACAGTTTTCCATCTAAGGTCCTGATAAAAATTTAAAATGTCATTAATAATTTCTAAACACTAATATACTAAATATAATTCAATTATTTCATCTTGAATATTACATTTAACACAAATATCAAATGACAGTTAACAATAATTGGTTTTTAAAAATTAATTGATTGTTATATTTGTTTAAATCTTACTTTTTATTACATAAACTAGTATAATAATTGAAATTTAAACTTTAGGTAATGTTTTAATTTCATGAACAAGCCATAGAGCAAGTGAAAGTAAGGTGAGTGAACCTGATTGATGAGCAGCCGCCAGTGACACAGGAACATAAGTAAGAAGTGTAGAAATTCCTAATCCCATCTAAAAAAAAAATTGAAATGATTTATAGCTGTTAAGTAATACATACATTTATTTTCAAAATTTATGAAACGATAATTACTTGGCACCATGCAAATGCAGCTAATGCAGTGGAAGCTGCTTTAGCTCTTGGGGGTAGCTTACTTTTACGAGACATAATGTATAAGGCTGATAAAATTGATACAGTACTTATTCCCTGTAAAAATAATTAATAAAACAAATTCTAATTATACAGACAGTTAATTTTAAAATAAATTTTATTGGTTACCATTATTCTATGATCAAATTGCACTGTTGTAGGATTTTCTGTAATATTGCTAAATACAGGTTTCATTTGTAATATATCGTCAGGTACCCAGGTGTCACCCATTTTTGGAAATGAATTATAAACCAATCCAGCATCCAATCCAGCCACAAATGCACCTAAAAATTGAATCTATTAAGTAGATTCATAATATTAAAGCGCTAACCGTGAGTTAACTAACAGAATTTTGCTAAATTTAACAACCGGTTAGCACTAACTGGACATTGTAAGAAAGAGCCAGAAAGAGTAATACCTTTACTAATTTTTTTTTTTTTGTATTGTATAAGAAAAAAAAATATTATAAAGTAATGCCAAATTTAGAAATATAATCTGTAATTAAATTCTGTATAAATTTAATATAGATAATAAAATGGATTGATAGATACTTATGTCTATTCTAGTTATACAATTTCAATTAATAATGCATTAATATACACACCAGACATGGCTGTCAGAAAGACTAGTCCTTTAGCTGCCATTGCAAGTCCAACAAACTTTTTAGTAACAACTCCAGTAATTTTAACAGGTAAAAGAATGCGTAATGAATTTGTTAGAAGGAATGAATACAATACAAATGCTAAGCCCAGATGAGAAGCTAATCTATACTGTGATACTCTTGGAACATCTGTGGGTTTGTCGAATCTATTTTCTAGGCCCGATTTCACCATATACCATCCCATCAAACCCTAAAATATAAGAATAAGAATAAAAATTGTATGAGTAGTATCATAGTATAATATTATTTAATACTGGCATACTTGTCCAGCTAACAATACGGAACAAATCAAAGAATGTATTTTAGTGGTTCGACTAAATTTACGAGTCAGCCAGAATCCAGCCATAGGAATGAAAAATGCAGCGCCTATACATCGGCCCCATGTCCTGTGAGCGTACTCCATCCACCATATCCATTTAAATTCTTCAATAGTCATAGTAGAGTTTTTCCTTAAATGAATATATATATAATTATTTAAATGTCGAATAGTCACAATGATTATATTAACATTTTGAATTCAGGATATTGTTGGTATTTTGCAAATTCTTCTTCCCATTGAAGCTGAGTAGTTGGCAATTTTTCACCCAATAGTTTCCAGTTGACCATAGACAATCCAGACTCTGTAAGTCTGGTGATACCACCCAATGCAACGGCAACAAAAACCATTCCACTGCAACCAAGAAACCAGTAACCAACATATTTTGGATCGGCATCTACTTTATGAACATTACTAAAGGATTTTTTCCACACATTCAACTGTAATTAAATTATAAACACATAAATAATTTATAAGTACTTAATATGTTTAATGTTCAAAGAGTGTATTTCAGTGTGTATACCTAATAAGGATATTAAAATGGATCTGATTTAAATCTTATTAGTTTTATAAGTATTTAATATGGTACCATTAAATACCTTAAAATTGTGACTTTATCCTTACATTTAAATTTGATGATATTGATGTTTTGTTAACGAATGGTTGACGATGAATGAATTGATTGGGTTTTAATAGTAGTCCCTAAAATAAATAATAGACAATTCAAACTATATGATTTATTAATTCAATCAAGTAACATTACTTTGCTGATTGTAATATTAGGATTCAGTTTTTTACCTATACCACATAAACATTTACTTAAATTTAACATATTTGTTTATTTTTAATAATACCGATTTAAAAAAAATAATAAACTGTAGGTACTTGAGTCTAAAATTTAAAAAATAAATTTTGCTGTTATTACGGCTTTCATAATCCGGTGCAATACTGATAACCGCTATCAATAGCGTGCGCGAGGTTGACATAGATAATAATTCTTTATTATCTGTGGAAATGGGTGGACCAAAGCTAGGGGCATCGAGATAAACAAACAATATTGTTTGTTTGTTTCGTCGGCTAGGGGACTGGTTTGATAAGAAACATGCGCCATGGCGTCGTTGTAAACTGAATTGCCTATACCACAGAAATCGAAGGAGTTTGGGATACACACTTGTCGGCTACAATACTGTGTCTGCTTAAATACGGTTCGGCTATATTTATCGGCTAAATGGCGGTTCTATTGAAATATTTTCGGTTTTTTTACGCGCTCCCCATTGCACAATATGTTATTTTTTGCATTATTGCAGTTGATATGAACCGCTCCCACTGCACAAATTAAGTAGTCATTAGGTGTACAAATCAAAAATACAAAATATTTAATCGAATATTTTTAAACCATTTTTAACTTCGTCGAGTTTATATTTCAAAATCAGTTTACCCATCTAGGTATTTACCTAAAGAATTTGTTAACGTATAGAATTTAAATAGTGTTTCTAATTTAACCATTTTAAATAAATAAAAATACTTAATTAAATAAAAAAAGATTCAATTATAATCAAAGTTCACAGTCAAGTTTCTAATCTACCGACTACTTTTGTAGTAAGATAAAATAATGCAAGATTAATTCACCGACAATATATTAAAAAGCGATTATGTGTTTTATCGTTGGTGTCTTTACATGATATAATTGTACTATGTTAATTTAGAAAATTAATATTGTTTACGGAGTAAAGTACAAAATGAGATCACGGGTAGCAATGGTCAAACACATTAAACAAACCGTTTGCTGTTATTGCCCACTTATATTTACTTACTTTTCAATAGTACTCATTCTTAGGTCGGTCGATAAAAATAAAATTATTTTAGTTAATATTAATTTCAGTCTTTATCACTGTCACACGATGATCAAGTCCAACACATTTTCGTCGTGGAAATACACGTTAAACAAATTCTGGAAATTAACCAACTTGCAACGGACAACGAGCACCGAACTGGAACCCGTTAAAATGGCTTATAAGTCGTACGAGTCGGAAGCAGACGGACAAAAACCACCTATTATCATCATGCATAGTCTTTTCGGCTGTAGATCCAATTGGAACACAGTGTTTCCGAAGACTCACACAAGATGAATCGAAAAAAAGTTCGTATTATATGAGTATAAACACATACCATAAGCGTATGCTTTTTTTCCGAAATGTTAGTTTTTAAACGCTTAACCCGTTGGTATAATCAAAACTTAATTTTCAATAATTCTAATTTAAAAATTCCATTATATTTTCTATTATAGACGGGGCATATTTTATTATTGAAAGTACTTGGTACTAAACAGTGTAGCGCACTCCAGCGACAGTAAAAACTAGCTGAATTACCCGGCGTTGCCCGGAAACAAATTCGTGACAAATTAGATAACGCCATTATTATTACCATTTACACCGTGTCAACCATATTTTGATCGTGCATTTGCGAACGATTGTTCCCAGATAAGCGCATCCTTTTGGCACTATTTGTGGAGCGGCCAAGGTTTGATTTCCTTTTCTCGGGCATAATGTGACCAATAAAAAAAAAAAAAAAAAAAAATCCTTCAAAATTAACAACTCACCCAAATCCTAATTAATTATTAACCAACTTAATTACAACCGCATGACAATTGGATGAGAAGTTTCGAAGCCAAACCGTAACAAAGACTTCCCCACTTTTGCTTGATTTCAGTTTAACGCGCGTCCGAACTGCCGGTAGCGCGGAGTGCGAATGAAATCGTCGTTTAATATTTTATATGTCACGCAAGTCCAAATTAATTCTATAAATAGAATTTGTATGTGTATTGGTTCATCGGTTATCGGTGTGCATTTTATCGTTCATTATAATAAAATAGGAGTGTTGGTGTACGCGCGATGCGTGAGATTATTTTTTATCGATAAACTTCTCGGAACAATTTTATTCTTATCTACACGGCGACGACGAACAAAAAGGATGGGTTGCAGGTAGCTGGAAACCCGCGGGCCGCCGTGCCGTACAACACGTATTGGCAGTGAATAATTATAATCGTTAATTACTCCACTAAAACGCGACATTTCCGAAAATCCCTCCCTGTTGCGCGGTGAAAATACGAGAAGAACCTCTATTTGCAAATTTCAAGTCCGTACGTTGAGTAGTTTTTGAGATACGGCGACCGGTGGGTCAGCGGTATTTGGATTTTATATGTATAGATACACTCGTATGTTATAATCACTGATATAGGTGATACCCTATTTTACCCCTCTTCTTAAAACCCCACCGTCGCCGATCCAAACCTGATGCTCCGGGTTGTGCAACTTTTTAGTACTTGTTACGTGGACGGTACACAACAAATTGCCGCAAGGTAAAACTTTTTTTTTCTGGATGTTTTGGTTTGGTCAAATTTTTGATCTAATTTTGCTATAGATAGCATGTTAATACACTAATTATAATTATTGACCGTTTATTTAAAATTCAGTGTTTTTAAATAATCTCCTCAAACTTCTAAAATGTGCTTTTTGTGCAAAATCAATTTTTCTTTTGAATTTTAAGTTTTATCAACCAAAGATATACCCATTAAATACTTAACTATATAGATTAGAATCAAATATGTAATATCATAAATATCCGACTTCTAGTTATACTTATACTTAATTTTATTATTATTCAAAGATAATTGCTGTGGGCATACGAAATCATGGCGACTCACCACATACTGCAGAACAATCATATCCACTCATGGCTGAAGATATTATAATGTTAATGAAAGACTTGTCTATAAAAAAAAGCTTCATTAATTGGCCATAGCATGGGTGGCAGAGTGATGATGTATCTTGCAACTGTCTATGTAAGGTTTTGTTTTGATAAATACTATTTAAACCGTTTTCATCTTAGCTATTAAAATAACGAGTAAATAATATACTTATAGCCAGAACTTGTTGAATCCTTAATACCAGTTGATATATCACCGCTTTACAGTGAAAAAGCAAAGTTTGTTCGGAGCATTATAGATATTTTAAGAAGTATTAATTTAGATATTAATGCACCAATATCAATAGTGCGACAATTGGCAGATGAACAAATGAAAAGTTCGATCGAGGTATATTAAGTTAAAATTATTATTATTAAACTTTGAAATTAACTTCAGATAAATGTATTTATTATTTACTTATAAATTAATATTATGTTGATTTAATATTGCTATAATGATCATTATTATTTTGAATTTAAAAAGAAAGACATTCTTGACTTGAGTTTGCGTTATAATTTGCAGAACCCAACGATTAGACAATTCCTGCTTGATACAAACCTGATACAAGTGGACAAGAGTTACCGATGGCGTTTAAATTTGTAGTCTGTGCATATTAATTTTAATAAGAACCTTGTGATGTTTCCACCTGTGCAATGCACAGGTGTATGATCAATGTTTCATGGCCCAACATATTTCATAACGGGAGGAAATTCAAAATTCTTGATTCCAGAACATCATGAGGTTATCAAACAGAGTATGTTCCCTTTAGCCAAATTTGAATGTATACCTGGCGCCGGTCACTGGTTGCATGCGGAAAAACCTAAGGAGTTTTTGAAATTAGTTTCTCAGTTTATAGCTACAGTATAAAATTATAATGTTTGCTGTTTAATACTATCACAATTTCTCTACATTTTAGTAACATTAAAACTAATATTCTAGCTAATTTTGTATATCTTGACCTAGAGCAAATCAATCTCATAAAAAATCGTAAATATTCAATTTTGGATTTAATCCTATCGAACTCAATTAATATTAAAGTTCTGTGTGAAGCAGTTAGTTTATTACCAATCGATTATTTGTATCGTCCAGCGTTATTGATAATATAATTATAAATAACTATAATTATTATATAATTTTTCTACTTGTAATTATAGTGTTATTATGTCGTATTTAACCTCTATAAACTAGCAACTTGAATTTAAAAATGTATTTATTAGTAATACCGTCGATGTTTTTTTATAAGCATATTTCTAAAATAATTTATAGTAACTATACAAAGAAAAACGTTATTTAAGTAAATATCCTGTTTGTTTTAGTTATGCATTGAGGGATTTAACTTTTAAGAAGAAAATTGCTCATGTAAACTTAATCCCACCCAAAATAATTACATAATTTTTTCTAAACTACGAGCATAATGTAAATTATAATCTAAAATTAATTTTAATAAGCACCAAAGTTCTATAAAAAATATTTTCAAGAAATGTTGGCAATTTTTAAAAAATAAATGCTCTAACAAAACGTCATTACCCTCGCCAATGACTTATGATAGTATATTAATATACGGAGGTGAAGAAATTGTTTTTAGTTTTGCATAATATTTTTCTAGTGTATATAATAATTTTGTATCTTCAACTACTTCTATTATATCCAGTAATTTTCCTTCTATTCTTAAGTCCATTTTACATTTATTTTCAATGGTTATAAATGAGTTTGACCATATTTCTTTTAAATCTAGTCCTGGCCTTAACATGATCTCTAACATTTTATTATTCAATTTATTGTAAATTTGTTCTAACAATTTCATTATTATATTTTTTAATCCATCACTATCGTTTGGTTGTTTTTGAACCACTTGAAAAACAAGTTTTGTTGTACCAACTTCTAAGGGAAGCGTTTATCTAGTATAATTAATTATCATCATATTTGTTTAATATATAAAATATCTAAAATATTTGAATCTGTTATACCTAAAAAAAGATTATTCCAATTCTTTCACTATTAATTAGTAATGACCAACATGCTTTCATTAAATATAGATCAAGAGCTATCAATCAGTTAGTTTTACAAAAATTCCTTTTAAACGATTTTGCAACAGGCTCTTAAATAGACGTTATGTATACGGATTTTGCAAAAGCATTTGGTAAATGCGATAAATAGTCGATTTAAAAAATTTCAAATCTGAATCATATTTCATCTGGTGTTCCTCGAGGGTCACATTTGGCTCTAATATTATTTTCATTACTTATTAATGATTTACAATTTTCACATTCAAGATAGCTAGGTACTCTTCGCTGATGACTTAGAATTGTTTCGATACATAAATTCCCCTTAAGACACATTATTGTTACAAAATGATTTAAATCCCTTGTTCGACTGGTGTTAACTTAATAAAGTAATGCTAAACATTATAAGTGCAAAGTTATGACATTTTTGAGGTCTTGTAATCCTGTTTATCTACAATATGATATAAATAATTTCCAGTTATTGCGCGTTAAAAATATCTATGGTTTAGGTGTATTATTCGATTTTTCCCTTGCATTTAATAAATACATTCTACATACTATTTTCAAATCTTCTTCATTCTTAGGTTTTATAATCAGAAACTATGAAAACTTTTTAAATCCTATTGTTCTTAAAAAAAACTTTATTTAACCCCTTAGTTTGTTCAAAACCTAGAGATAATTCTATAGTATGGTCTGCTTATAAAATAACCAATATTTAATGTTTAGATCATCCAAAATCGCTATATATACTTTATGGCATTTAAATGTAATATAATTTGTGAGCCTCACTACCATTACCAGTCATTATTATTGAACAATTTAAACATTTCTAGTTTATCACTTAAAAGGAAAATAATTGACTAACCACTTTTGTTCAATTTTTCAAACTGTTATATTATTTGTCCTGATTTGTTACTCTATATTCATTTTAATGTCCCACAATATAGACCTAGATCGAAAGATATTTTTTTTTATGTATTTCGTCAAAAACACCATATTATAAGCATTATTTTCTTCTTTTAATAGGATTAGCCAACTAAATACATATTGAATTATTTTTTTTAATTGTATTGAGCTATTTAAAAGTTATATTAATAATATTAATTTATAATTTATTTTATGTTAATTGTTATATACTTAGTTTTTAAGAATATAACCTCACATAATTTTGTAATTGGATCCATTCAATCTGTCAAATATATATTAATAAAATAAATAAATAAAATACTTACCGTAAATATTGAGTATAATACATAGTGCAAAGTTTTAATAAGATTCACTATTCAATGTTGGACATGTTTTGTTTTATATTAAATATAACTTGAATTAATGTCTCTTTAAATTCTGTTAAATTAGGCAGATATGTTATGGTATAATAAATGTTTATATAAATTAATTTTTTTAGATTATTTAATGTCGTATTCCAGTTTGTTTGGTTAAATCTTGTGGCTTTGTACTACTTAATAACCTAATCTAACCTACTTATATTTGAACGTATAAAAAAAATGAAATTCAATAACTATAACATACTTATTGGAATATATTATTGTATATGTAGTTACTCTTGAAACTGTATATTTTACAATCGTCGGGTATCCATACAAATTTAATGGCAAATTCTTTTGCATCAATACATCACTGCCATCTAGCCTTATAAAATATATCGTTGTTGGAGGTTTCAGTTTACATGACATTACTCTTTTAATATCCGGGGTATAGACAATTCGATCGACACAACACAATGACACTAATTTCTTATCTCTAGTCCCCTAACTTCACACCCGTTATCAATAGACAAATCACAGAATTTGATAGTGCTATCAATTGTTTGTATTTCGTGATGTTACTGGAATTTGTTTCTGCCTGGTGTACAATTGGCATTTATTAATAAGTTACATAAAATGTTTAATATTAAATATTAATATTCAATAACAACTCAATGCCCGAGTAATAATATTTGATAAATATTTTTCAAAAGCAATACATATAGTACAATGATTGAAGTATCGGCTAAACTTATTGGTGGGCCTATATTTATGCCTGGTAGTAAAATTGGCTGTTGTATAACATTTACTCATCCTCCGTTACCGTCACATTCTCGAAGTCAAAGTAATAGGTAAGAATTAACCAATTCATTTTTCTCGTTAATCTGTAGTGTGAGTTGCTAGGTGGTAGTACCTATTTGATCTAAACAATTAATTCTGAATACTACTATCTGGACTATAGGCATTTGAACAATTATGCATTTTTAATTGAATTATTTATATAGATGTTTTATACAAATTAGTGATTACATTATATTTTCAGTGATGTTTTAGAAAATTTGGCGTGGGCCAGTGTTCAAATTAATTGTTTGTGTTTAACTAACGACAATATCAACTTTCCATCGGACATGTGTGTCACCAAAGATGAAAAATTTTTAGGAAATTCTGAAACGTCATTTGCACCGTGTTTAACAGATAATGGTCATGTAGTTTTGTCAACAAAACCAAAGATTTTGTTCTGTGATGTTGGACTATCACCCGGTGAAAATAAATCATGTAAGTATTACCACCACAAATTTAACTAATATTGAAGTCTAGAAACAATTTGTAGGAGTTGATTCAATTTAAATTAAATTTTATCATCCAAATTACTTTAAAATAGATTATGAGACTACTATAATACCGGACACCTTTTTTTCTGTTTTTAATTATATTTTCGTATAATTTAATTACCTTTTTGTATGTCTTTGTGATTTAGATTTATATTGTGAAACTTTACCAAATGATGCACCACCATCATATAAAGGTCACTTAGTAAAATATGCGTATAAAATCACAGTTGGTATGCAGCGTTTAAACAGTCCGATTAAACTGCTGAGAGTTCCAATTCGTGTTGTAGTTATTCACGGTAGGTAATTATCACAGTAAGTAATAGGTATTTCTTAAACATTTTTTAGTTACCTAATTAGTTAATTAATTTTGTTTTTAATTGTTTTAGGACTTACTGAAGGGGTGACGTGTGAGAATAGCATCGATCTATCTCCTAGCAATCCATTTTTAGAGTCTCAATATAAACATGAAGAATGTGATATGGCTCTTCAAATGCTTCAAGTATGTATCTTAGAATTCAATAATTTGTTTCTTATTTATATTTTGATCTAATAACGATTTGAGCAATTGAAAAATATGACTACTAAAATTAATACATTATTAATATATATAGTTGTATTAATTTTATTGTTTTAGAATATAACTGCAAAACGGAGCCCAAATTTTTACAATATAACAAATTCTCGAGGAAAAGTTGCCCGATTTTGTTTATTCAAACAAGCGTACAGGCTCGGTGAAGATATAGTTGGTACTTTTGATTTTGAACAAACTGATGTATCTTGTATTGAGGTATAACATTTTTTTATTTTAATTACTTAAGTATATATGATTAATAACAACTTAAAATATTGATTTACTATTTGCAATGCTTAAATTCTTCTTCTCCTATGCTTTCATCTCAGCTATTTGGGACCAGCCATCCTCATCTTAAACTTAATTTGATCCGATTTCCCACCTCACATACATTGGCTGTCCTTGAGTGTCCTCATATCATTCTCAACCATATCCTGCTGCCACAATTTTATTTTTTGTTGCAATTTAGTTAAAAATATTTGTAGAGACTTGACATTTAAACAGAAAAATTATATTTGCCTTTCCTAGATGTGCTCAAATTTTCAAAACATTTTAGTCACTTCGAGCTATAAGACATTTATATTTTGCGAGTTATTTATGAAATTTTTATTTGTGGATAAAATCATTAAACTTAACAGAAAAAAAAAAATTCAATAATGTAAAATTGTTTTTATACAAATTTGATATTCAAATTTTGACGAAAATTGTAAATATTATGGCCTTTCAAAACGCGTATAACCAAACTCTGCTCAGAATCCTTTTTTGTTAGCAATAATCATTTGTTGCATACATATATGCATTATATTCTGCTCAACATCCTCCCTTACCAACTTCTTATCATGCAAAGTATATCAGTCTTTTTTTATTATTACTTTATATACATAATATAAGAGCAATTTAATTTAAAAATAAAAATATTTTTGTACACACATTGGGTATACAATTTTTTTTCTTTGATTTTAAATACTTCAATTTATTTTCTAAAAATAATCTTTTATTGAACTTAACTTTGTGGAATATTTTGTATTTACCAATGTTTCTAATAACAACAACGTTATTCTTTCAGCATTCCTGGCTTCATATTTTGTATAGTAAAATTATTCTAGAGTTCTCAATGCAGCATGAGCTTTGGATATTAATGATACAATTTCAAAATTGTCATCGAACTTACCAATATTATTATCTGGCTCTAGTTGTTTGCTGGTCATAATATCTTTGACTATATATCTTCATCTGTTGTAATTGCTGATGTTGTGAGGTCATCATTAATCTTGATATAGTCTTCATCAATGTTATTAAAAACATTAATAACCCTACACGTCAAAAGCAATTAGCAATTCCCGTAAATATAACATTATGCCAAGCTTAATTCAGCATTATTATGGCATCTAAAACAATTTTTTTTTGTCTTCACTTGTTTATTAATATTCCTTATTATTCTGAATACTAACTGATTCTAGTAAAGATCTTTTAGAGTCCTTATAGTTACCTTGGTCCATCGGTTGAATGAGAGAAGTAGTGTTGTGAGGTAACAATACAAGTTTAATAAATTTTAATTGCTATAATGGAAAAATTTGTTTGGAATTTAAAACATCTAGGATTTTTGGACTTTTCAATAACAAGCAACTTTCTCATATTAGTTTCAATTATGTTGGCCCGCTACGAGAATTGTTATTTTTTCCTAGGATAATCTCACCCGCCCGAGCATTTTTCACTCTTAAAAGGTAGAGTATTATTAGGAGTTTATAAAAAAGGCCAGTATTGTAAATTTCATTATTATAGTAACCCTCTTTGAAAAATGGCCAAATGTTAGCGAACCAATCGGAACACAATTCAGTATTAACTGCTGGCGACTCGCCTAAAATTTTGTCAAAATCGATATTGTGCTGTTATTTGAGATGCTGATTCCAAGATTTAGAGCATTTGAAATTCTTTGTCTTCATTTTTTGAACCAATTGGTCAGTTTTTACTTAAAGGCACGTTCGATTGTCGTTGTTTGAACAGCTTCTTCAAGGTCCTTGTGTTTTGCAGTGCGCAGTCGTCTTACCTGAAGTGAAGTGGTTTGAAACATAATTTTCAACGTATCTCGGTTCTTCCATATGGTTTAAATCGTTGACGATGAGGTACCAAATTCTTTTTATAAAAGTTGTCATTTAAATGCCAAAAGTAGATAGTCGTTTCACCCTTAACAATAAGGTTGAAAATAATAATGTTAATGTTCATTTTAGAGCTGTTTGTTTTTTTAATTATCAAAAAAAAAAAGTGAAAATACTTTTTGAAATAATGAATGTATTCGCTTTAATGGAACACCCTGTATATATGTACAATGAGTAGTACATTTTTAAATTTTTCCTATAGCTAAGAAAATATGTAATGTTTGTGAGGTTATAATATAATATATATTATATTTTCAAGTACTATTACATTTTCATTAGCTATAAAAATAATGGCGTTATCAATACTCCTCTGAATATGTCATTGATTCTTGTAAATAATATATGATATTTTCTGTAATAAACTTGAGGTTGGTATCACGTTTACTATTTACACATTGTTTATTATTTTATTTTTTATTTTCTGGGCTGAAGTGATTGATTGCTAAAATTAATATTAATTGATATTATTATATTTCTAATTGTTAAAACAATAACTACCTATATCTATAGTTATAATTTAGAATTATTGTTATTATTTGCACACAATTTATTCTTATTATTTTTTAGACCAACTATGTGTTAATATATTTACCCTGTTTAATAATAGGCTGTTTTCAAAAATTATTAGTAAACTTATTTTATTATTTAAATAACACTACTTATAGTTATGTGCAATAATACATATTACTCTTAATTAATGACCATTACATAGAAATTACTGTGATTATTATAATAATTACTGATAATTTATAGTATCATTAATGATCAATTTAATTATTTAAAACTTTTAACATTTTTAACTAAAATGGTTTAATATTAGATTTTATTGTTATTAAATTTTATTTTATTACTATTGATATTTTCAACAGTATTATTTATCACCCAGTAAATAATTACACATCAATTCGACTAAATTATACATGAACCCTATATATTAATAGATGACCTGATATTATATGAGCTGTATTAATATACTCAGTTATCTCTTTACTAAGTGGAATATATTTGTAAATTATTCGTAATTTAAAACTCAAGAGACGAGTCGAATCGAATGTTTCTAGATTTAAATAAATATTTGCATTTTAAACAATTTATTTATTTTTTCGGTATTAAAATATTACAAATGATAAGAGATTATTTTAATTACTCCCTTCTCTGCACAGCATGATTTACTATTACTAGTTTAGATTAACTTCAACTAATCATTGTGTAATAATACAATTCAAATACAATAGTATGTTAGTATCAAGTATATATATTCAATATTCTTCAATATATATTTTCAAGTACTATTACATTTTCATTAGCCATAAAAAAAAATGGTGTTTCCTTTAAAACTAAATTTAAAGCTTAAATCCTTACTCGAAAAAAAATGTAAAAAATTATATTGAAAACATAAATAACCTAAAATTATTTTTTTACCACTATAATCATTATCATACTTTTTATTATTATCACAAAGTGAAAAAAAAAATGTATTAAGATCTGATGTTAATTACCGCATTAGATATTTCATGAAGACCATTCTATGCACATTTCAAAAATTAAAAATGTTGACACCTGCTTATTTTTCGTTTTATGTATTTTTCGAAATTGTTGATACTTAATAATCACAATGGCTTGATAGTTAAGAAAAGCTATTTTAATTAATTTGTTATCAAGTTTTCACTATACCTACGCTTATACTTGGTTTAAATTTTTCTATATTTTGTTATAGTGTTTAAACTGATTTTTTTTTATCATTTTCATTAAATTTCAATTTTCTATAAACTGGTTATTGTAAACTATTATACATTTCCATTGACCACTTATAGTACACTAGTACACTAGTACTATTTATATTGGTTTTCTGGTGTACTTATTTGGTATATTATTATTATTATTATTACCCTACCATGTTTAAAATATAGAATGAAGTTTGTGTAAATATTCCCGTTTGAACAAATGACTATGGATCGCTGTGTCAGATTCCTTGGTAAACATGAATTAGGTACCTAAATTTTGTAATTAAATTAAACGTGAAAATTCGTAAGCTAAAAAACGAAAATTTGCCAATTTTACAAGTATCAATTCTAGATAAATTTTATCATACTTATCTATACATATTAAAAATGTATGAGTACTTACTTAATTATGTATTCTAAATCCAAATAAATCGATAAAATAAAAATAAAACATTACGTCATATTTTTAAATTCAAATGATTTTAATGATCTCGCGAACATTTTTTTCGGTTGTGCCTGTGCAAGAGTAATGTTTGGTTAGGAAAAAATATGTTTGAATACGTTTAGGGATGAAAAATTGTTAAAAGGGTAACGAGTGGAATAATAATAATAATGTGGTGGTTACGCATTCAATAAACGCGAGCCATTTACAAAACTGTCAAGTACCGAATTAAATAATAAAATATTATAATTTTACGCGGTTTTAGTGAATTTATGAAGGCCTTTGGAAATTGAAAATCAATTATTATGTACATAATTATCACCAAAACGTAAAGCGATACACCCAAAATTAATGACTTTCATTAATTATTATTCAGTATAATAATCGCTTTACATTATTATAAAGGCATTTAATCACGAGCCATAATGTTCATGTAATCATGTCGAAGACAAAAGTCCAACAAATCCTATTATCCTAACAGTCTAGTAAGCTTTAAATTTAACCCTATTAGTTTATGTCATTAGTTTAAAATCCCCTTTTATGCAACTGATTATATTTAAATATATAATATACAGTGTGATTATGTTTCCAGGTAACGCTAAATATTTTCGCCTGATAACTTTGTATTTGAATTCTGTTTTAGGGAGCTGATAAGAGCTGCTGAAATATACATTTAAAGATGCATTTTAGTTTTTTAACTCTTTCGCTACGTGCATGCCCGATGCAAAATACTTCTTTTTTAAACAATACTTCATTAACTTATTCAAAAATATCTGTGGAGCACCCAATCTTTTTCCATCATTCCGCATTTGGAAGTTCCCTGCCCCTTTCAAATCTACTGTCCCCCGAATGGACCAAAATGATCTCAGGGGGCTGTACCGTCCCCGTTAAAAACCACTGAATTTATATTCCCTATCACCTCGAAAATGAAATACAAATCCAAGATTATCTGACCGCAAGGTTTAGTGTTACCTAGAAATATAACTACACTGTGTTTAACTATATTTTTTACAGAATATTTCAATATAAATATTTTAATGGATTACCTTTATATGCGTTTTTTAAAGTGTAAATGGTTTTTAGACCCTGGTAGCAAAGAACCTATATTAGTTTTACTAAGATTGATTTTTTACTCTCGGAAAACCTTTCTTTGGTTAGTAAAAAAGTTCAGATTTATCCTTGCCATACCTTAAAGGTACAGATTTTATATCCGGCGGTATTTTATTTGAACAATTTTTGTAAACTATCAAACGTTTTAATAAACAGTTAAAACTACTGACAAATATTGATTCGTCGATTTTATTTGTAATAATTAGCTAGGACTATGATCTTTGCTATAAGCGGAAAAAAAAGGTAGCCTTGTCAGTTTATCGGATTCTGTTCAGAATGATTTTTCGATTGCAATGATTTATCGTTGTTTTCAGTATGTAAACTAAATTACTCGCCTTATATCTTACCTAACAAATAAATCCATCTTCCGACCTACAATTGCGGTGTGACCAATCAATTTATTTAGTAATAATTTAGCATTGTTGTTTTTATCTTTAGCTATTTATTTATTAATATTCAAGAGATTATAATATTCCTAATAATTACTTTATTTACTTAAAGACTACGAAAAAAACAACGATTTATTTTTACTACGTCATAATCAAACATCGCTTAAAAAACTTAAAAGGTCGCATATTTATCATCAAATTATGACATAATTATCATATTATATCATTTTTGTATAGAGTAATTAAGAGTTATTTTGGGTGTTTAAAAAACAAAAAATCACTAATTAATGTAATTTCAGTTTTCATTTTATTAAAAATCTACTTTCTCTTTTACAGTTTTAATATTTAAGATTTCGATTAGTGGGAAAGCTATCCGTTTTATTAAGAAATGTTTCTTTCTGGCCTCTATAACCTACACATAATTTGTTTTCTCCACCATCTCCCGCGTACCTAGTATAGCAACAAAATATACACATCGCACTTCAACGATTGCAACTCTTTAATTGAGTTTAGGATAAACAGACCTATTGTACGATTTTATAATACAGATTATTTACTATCCATTGGCCAAATCTTTTTTTAATATTTTCAATTTTACTATTAAAAAATGCGCGTTTAACATAAAAATTTAATTTAATTTCTCTTATCTTTAACCGTGAACAAAGCATTCAGCCTAAGCATAGTAAATCTCTCTTCTTTATAAAATGTATTATAGGTCTTTTTACTTTAAACTCATCCAGAAAGTCGCAATCGTTGAAGTGCGAAATGTATTTATTGCTAAATGACGCGTAAGACAGAGAAAAAAAATAAATAATGTATCGAGTCCTCTTAAACAACTTTTTTCACGCCGTACGAAAATGCGGAAATTCGGATTTTTCGTCCGGCAGAACTTTATTTGAACATTTTCTCTAGATTCCCGAACATTCTTCTTGAAAATTAAAAGAAATAATTATTATCGGTTTTACTTTTATTGATAACTGAATTACTTCGGGTATTGGAGAAAACCACGACTGACTAGTAATATAATATAATATAATATAATATATATATAATAGTATATAACCGAGTTCCACTCAAAATAGTTTTTTGACCGCAACATTCGTATAAACTTAATTAGGTACCTTATATCCTGTACCTTTCCAACTTCCTAACTACAGCAATGGTCATAGTATGAATAATTCTATACCCGTTTTTTTGATAATATTGTCATCGAGTGTACAATTACGTATAATATAAATACGATGGTTTTAATAATATGTATAGTATACTAAATTTATTTTCTCGATCAATTCTTAATTTCTAATGTTTTCATACGAGCAATTCGGAATATTTTGTATAATATATTACACGTTTACATAAAGAACACATTTTTGAACACTATTTGTTTGCGTTCTTATACTTGTATTAATCGCTACAATGCTATCACTAGTATCATATCATACCGATATTGTTTTAGCAATTGAAAACGTTTCGATTGTAACCTTCTTGATTTAAACAATTCAAACGAATAGATTTATTGTATACCTACGACACATTATGTTTATAGGTCGAAAAATGTGATTTATGAACTAATGTTTATTATTTACTCGTTCCAGCTATTAGTCAGTCAATAGATTTAGCGTCTTTGTCTGAGAATTATTCTGATTTCATAAACATTATTATGTTTATGAAATTATTAAAATGTTTAACGTTTATCAAACATTATTTATTATTTTATTATTAAAATTGCTGTATTTTATGAGAAAAAAATGACTAATATTGCTGATCGGTGTACTACTGTTTAGGAGAGAAGTTGGAAGGAAGAACATAATATAGAGTATTTACATTTTTTTTCTGTACTTAACGTTGAACCATTGTTGACGAAAAATGATTCTGAGCAAAATATGCTATTAGTTTTATTGTTTCCGTTGTTGTCATGGTAATTCGGAAATCAATTAACATTTATACAAAATAAAAAAAAAACTACGAATAAAATCAAAAAAATTACCTTAACAGTACACTAACTTGTAACATTAAAAAATGCTACAAGAAAGTTCCCATAAAGTTTACGATCGGAGCAAGTTTTCTGGTAGAAAAGTTTTTACAGACACAAAAAAAAATCTATCATAGAAAAACCGATAAACATTCCACTTCAAGAACACAATTTGAAAACTATCGATATTTATTATGTATAATGTGTGTAAATTTAAGTTTTATCTAACAACACCGGATAATATTTTTATAGCGTAAATTGAAATCGTCCGAAATTTTGTCCATATGTTCTTACAGTTTACAGTCAGTTTGCAGTGCGAGGAAGCGGTCAACAAGGACTTTGTCGCCTCCAGCCCGAGGCCCAGAAAGGACAACGTCTCGGTCGTTTCGTACAACACACAACACCAGTTCTGCGCTAACACTCTGAAATCGTTCCTGCAACTCGCCATACCGTTAAACGTCACTCCCGCTTTTAGCACTTTATTAGGTGATTATATGTTACAAATGCTTGCACATATGCACGTAGGCTTTCCCATAAATAAGACACACACGTTCGATGGTACCTAAAATTTTTCTTCCTGGCATTATAATATTGTTCCAAGAATTTTTTTCGTTATTCTGACACTGCCTTCCATACCTCGCGATTGTCTATTCTCTTTCTGTATCTCGCTCTCTCTTGTCAATAATTCTCTACACCTAATTTCTCCGGGTCTTGTTTCACCTCATCCATCCATCGGTTCTTTTGACGTCCTCTATAGGTCTCTTTCCAGTTTTGTTATCATCTCGACTTTAGGGATCGCCGATTTCGGTCTCCGTACCGCATGGTTTGTTAACAAGTTGGGAAAAAAATCGATCGTAGAGTCGAAATTTATTTAAAATTTGTCTACGTAATAATATTATAATTGCCTTGTAGTATTTTATATTCGGAAAGTGTTTAATTTATACAATTTATAATATTATTGATACATATTACAGTTATTGACTGCAACCAATTTCAAAAGCGAAATTTTCACTTCGTATTTTCCGTTGTTTTTACATTTGCCGGTCGTTTTTCTATGGGCATTTCTCAGGTGGAATTTGAATCGGGGCTCTAAAAATATTTTATAAAATATATATAAATGTATGTATACGGGGCAGGTTAAACATATACTTATAAACGTTTGTTTTCCGATGACCCCCCCAGTGTGCGTGAAATGGAGGCTTCATTTTGAATTCGTCACCAGCACGAAGACCTCGGGCGAGCGGGTGGACGAGACCAAGGAGGGCACGTGCTGGACGGGACCGGAAAACATAGACATCGAGACAATGGTTTGGGATCTGCCCATACAAATTTACCCGTCCGTTCCGTCCATAGCCAACGACCCGCACGCCCCCACGAGGATAACAATCGTGATATGATTTTCATTTTGTTATTACAATATGCGAACGTGCGCGTGTATTATGTATAATATAATAAAAATAGTAGGTATTTTTTTTTTTTTTTTTACGAATTATTATCAATCAAAAATGTTTTTTTTTTTTTTACACCTTATTTTTTGTTTATTATTCGTATCTTGATAAATTACTTTTATTCTCTGTTATTAAAAGTTGAAAAGGGGACCTTTTCTAGTGTTTTTTTTTTTTTTTTTCTACTCTTCCGCTCGCTCACTCTTCCACTCGCGCTCACTGTTTCCGTGCGTGCGAGCGCACGCGCGCGCGGCCGTTTATCCGACCTGAATACCCTTTTACAAATGTCAACTTACAGCACGAATACACAATATATAATACGCGTGTAATGTGACGTGTCCTCTTTGTGACGACGTGTTGTTATTATATCGTATTATTAAAAGGACGTCCGAAAAGACATTAATCACGGTGGCGGTGCCGTCGTCATCATACGTGCGCGGCGGTTGTCCGTCTGCAAGGATGACCGGTGCCGCGCGTGCAGTGCTGCAATTGTGTGTGCGAGTGCGTGCGAGTACCCTGTATAAAGCCGCAAACTTTGGCCGTGCCTTTGGACTCGGAGAAATATTATTACGGTAATAATATTATTATAATAATAATAATAGTGCCGCATACAATACTGGCGTACGATTTGACAAACAAGGAACCGAATTCGCGTGCGCGTACAATTTCACGAGCGCGTTATTATTTATCGTGTACAAAGGCATTCCTGAGCGATACTGAATATTAAAATAACTTCCGGTCGGTCAAACATCATAAATGGCAAAGGCGCACTGCAGATATGATATAATAATAATAATAATAATATGTATAAATATATTATACGCGTTTATGCTGTGCGTGTGCGTAATAATATATACGAGGATCGGTCGTACGTACGCGGCCGTGCGGGTGCGGGTTTCGAAAATTCCGACCCCGAAGAAAACGCGCTTTTATGGTTTTAGATTCTGAGCGCGGCCGAGGAATGTATCGGTTTCGCTATTATTATAGGTACGATATGATGTGTGCGTTTTTTTCCCCCGTCTTACAGACCACTTTTCCACCGGAAATTTCGATCAAAAACCCACACGAGGTGGTTAGTTTAGAGGGCTTTGGGGTTAGGAGATTTTTTTTTCGCATCCAGCTGGTGTGTTTTAATTTTCCGCGTAGATTTCTGAATAATCGAGAGAGTTGTTTACGGCATCAACGCAGTGGTTCCAACGGTTCTCGATTTTATTTTCGAGACCTGAAATGTTCACGTGACACTTATTTCGGCGTTTCTTTTAGACGCGCCGACATTTTAGAAATGCTTGTTTCAAACAATTATCCACGATAAAAAAAAAAAAAAAATCCGAAAAAAGTTAATACTTTACGAGATAATGAGTGTCTAATCGACGATTGATCGCCTTGTTGTAATAAGGACCCCGTGAAACCCGTAACGATGGCGGCACTGCATGCCGGGAGGCGATAAATAAACGCGAGTCAATATCCGCAAGATTTACCGTGTTTACGCGTACAATAATACGGCAAGATTTGTTCCACTTTACCCCGGGTGATTTATGTACATTAACTTTTAATTTTCGGATATCCGAATCGATGACGGCGGCGGATATAATGTAGCGGGCCGGCGGCGGCGGCGGGGGGTTGATGTATCGTTTCAATATCTTTCGGCGGTATGTGGTGTGCGACTGCCGATTTTATGCGCGTTCGTCCGAATCGGGAATACAGTAAAATAAAATAGAAGTCCAACGCAATTTATATCTAGACAATATTTACTTACCTATCTACTATCATGTACAATATTGTAAATAGACTGCATGGTATAAGTAACAGACGTAGACGTAGGACGTCCTAACTGTACAATCTGTTTATAAATAGTGACGGTAATTAAGTAATCCAGGATCCCATGGGGAGAAGGGCTCGAGTCGGTTTTGTACACAGTGTTACAAGCGAATTCAAATTTTGAAAATTACTTAAAATGACATACTGGCACGTATGATTACTAAATGACTTAACCTAGATATGGCGATGCGAATGGTTCGAGTTATATTATAATTATATATTTATTATTCCTGTTCGCCAAACAAAATTTACATCATTTAGTGACTCCAGATATTTTAATTTTCAGCATAACATATTATTATGTTAGAATGCGGTTATGCCATTTGAACCGAGAAGCAAAGGGTAAAAAAATTACATACCGGAATTTCGTAAGTTAACGCTAAAGTTATTGGACTAAATAGGTTTCGGGCCGGTGCCCTCTCCCCTACAACCAAAGCGTTCCGAATAAATTGCAAGTTATAGCCCTTAAATCGTTAGTAAATGCGAGTTCATTCCGGGAGCTTGTAAATGGAATGCGATCCCCTTGGGGAGCTTTAGAACAATTGTATTAATTAAGTTTATGCATTTTTATTTATACATATAAAGATAACGGGCTGACTATAAACTGCTATGACTGCACAAATAAAACAAACATTGTATATTTTATAATTAATATTTTTAATTTTTTCGATTTCGTTTCCTGGCCAGAAATTTTCGAGTATGACATAATTACTGAAAGAACATTTTGTTTAATTAACGCTGAAAAAAAAAACAAAATTCATTTTTCGATTTTCCGTATTTTTTTGATAGACGGGTAAAACCGGGAAGTAACCACGGTTTAATTATTTTTGATTTTGTTTTTTTGTTGTAATTCGATTAAAAATATTCGTAGAGATTTGCAATCCGCACAGAATATTACCGCGTCTAGAAAAGGCGCGGTAAAACATTCAAAATAATCTAATGATGATTTTTTTTTTCTTTTGAAAGGTGTTCTTGACGCAATTACAATTAGCTGATTAAAATCTTCAGGTTTTCACAATAGTATTCTATCTTTTTGAACGATAAAATTCACATCACAGCCGTTGCCAAATAATACCGGGCGTCCGGGTATCACTTATCCAGTTGAGTTATTGTAATATTTTAATTGCACTTTTTAAGTTATAAAACAACAATACCTATAATGTGTAATACTTGTGATGTCTTGTCTGGTATTCGCCAGTATCGGACGGAAGTGATACAATAGGTTCGTTACTCCGACCAGTGGGTATTAACCGTAAAATTGTGAATATGGCCAATCTACCGATAAATTACCACCAGAGAAATTTTAACTGGAAATATACGTAATAGTGATTAGGTATACGTATTTACCCCCTTGGTAAAATATCGCGAGGGTAAAAACTAAAATTTTTGTAATGCAATTTTATCTTTTCCCCCCGTTCAAACCAGTCAATAGTAACTACTGGCACACCGGTGTTTGCCATAGTATTGATTTTCTACTCAGTTATTCTACGTATCAAATTTTTTCACATTCCACGGCACGTTTGTGTCGAGAACGTTATATTATAATAAATAGTATATTATAAAATGATGTTCTCGTCCGGAACTATTATCGAAGACGACGATTTTCTACGTTTCTATTTATTCACGCGATGTATAAAAAACATTACGGCCTTTTAAATACCCCTCCCTCACGTCCCCGCGTGACTAATAGTCGTAGGTATTTAAGCGCACCGCACTCCGAGTACCTGCCTATACATTAATAGACGTGATCAGTGATTATTTCCGACCATCCATTCTCGGAGGGGGTATCGTAAATTTTCAAAGGGGGTACGTCAAATGCAAAGGATCTATGAATTTTTACACCCGGGGAAAAAATTGCGAAAATACGTCCAATGATGACATTTCTTTTCGTGTACCAACCTTATTAAAATACGATTATTATTTGTATAACAACAATTTTTTGTTAACAAAATTATTCATAATCGGCGCGTATCTCGTTTTATATTTCACATCGCATCATGCAGTATACGAAGCCTCAAAATACGGAACAATAAAATAACGGACACTTTCGCTCTCTGAATAGCGGAAAAAATTTCAGCGGGCCGGAAGTGTCCGGTGTATTTGGAGGTTTCGCTGTATCGGCATTTTAATATTTTCCGTTTTGTATTTTTTGTACGACAAAAGTCATTTCGAAAAAAGATCAAAATATCGCGGTTCTAGGCTCGTGTTAGGTGGCTATGTATGAACCACATCACCTCCCTCGAGTGCGCCACCGGTTGTAACGTCGTACATACATTTCCAAGGGGGGGGGGCGGCGTATATTTTTCAGCGGGTGGAAGCCGATACTCCCCCACACACCGCCCCTCCCCCTCGGTCGCCCCTGAAATGAACGCCGGCCGTGATAGTACGATGACGACAATATAATACGGTTACGCCGCGGAACGGTCGTCCGGTCGAAAAACTATGATACACAATATTATAATGAAATTCCCCGCTGCTGCTACCGCCGCCGCAACGGACCGTCCCCGTACGCCGACTGTAATAATACGTTTTTATCATATTATTATTTTTAATAATAAAAAAAAATGTATATACGTATACAAATAAAAATCCCCTCGTTCCGGCGGCGGCTTTTGAACGGTGTTCATTTTTTTTTTTTTTCCTTTTTTTTTTAATGACAAGCGTTATTTCCGCGCCGTATTATATACTATATATATGTATATACACATTTTTACGTGTATAGGGACGATTAGATCCGCGTGTTCAACAGATTAAAGACTTTGTGCGCGCCCCATAGTCGTCGTCGTCGTCGTCCGTCCGTCCGCCCGCCAGCCCGCCCGCCAGCCCGCCGTTTGTCGCGAAGCCAAAAGCGTCCGTCCGCGCGTAACGTTTATTATGATATTGCGCGCGCGTAACGAGCCGTAGGAATTTTTATGCGCGGCGGCGACGCGCGCGTATAAAAGCCGAACCGCTCGCGCTCTGCCCCGCCCGCGACCTTTGCTTTGCCGCGACCGCCGCCGCCGCCTCCGAGATACCCTACCGAACTCCGCCTCCTCCTCCGCCGCCCCCGCCGACGGGTTGCTCTCGTATTATTATTGTTGTGTTGTTGTTTGTCGTCGTGCGCCGTTTAGCAGTAACAGTAATAATAATACGCGCGCCGGCAGTAACACGACCCGACGACAATGCTATGTTATTATTACCACGCACAACGGCTACAACGGATTTTCCGCTTTTTACCGTCCAATCTCTGTTATTGTTATCATCGGCATCATTGTCGCGTTACCGTGTATCGTAACCGATTATTAAAAATAAACTACAGGGGAAATGGACCGGAAATGAGACGAAAAAAGTCTCTTGTTGTT